GTCTGTTGCATTAGATGGTAATTGCTCTGACGGACTTTACACTCGCGACGGAATCGGAATCCATATCCTATACGAAAATACATGTAAAACTCATTTATATGTAACGGCAATCACAAATCAATGAACTGGTTTACATTGCTTCCCACAGACAATATTACAGAAACAATAATATTTACTGAAACAATAATATTTACTTGGAGCGAACGCTGACGCGCAGCATCAGCCAAAGCCCGTAACCGAAAAAATAAATTCCTTACATTCTCTCTACCATAAATGGACAGGCGAAATAGAGATAAATGAACTCAAACTTTTCGTGTGATTGTAATTAGATTTATATCTTATCTGTTCATATGTTGTGTAAACGGTGGCGTATTAAGGTATTCTTTAGAATAAAGCTTTTCAAAAATGACATCAATCAGTAAGATGGAAACACCTTTCCACCAACAAAAATCTAAATTATCAAATCCAGAATTAAGGACCTTTATTGGCTTATCGGACATAATGCGAAATTTGCACTCTAAAACAAAATCTTGATTCATAAAACTATAATAATTTCTATCTGATCATACGGAATAGAGCTTTGGGGCTGCTTTAGCAAATCTAGTATGGCATTGGTACACCGGACCTAATCAAAACTACTTAGAATGATGACAGGTGCAACTTGGTAAGCAATAAAACCCTGCATGATAATCTGAAGGTGCAATATATTAAAGACTTCATGAAAACAAGATACACTACTCATAAAAATTGAGAAATCACCCCAATTCGTTGTTCCGGTGCTATATACACCAGAATTGAGAAGGCTAAAATAAATTATAGCTAATTAACTTAATCCCGAAAATTGCATCGCATAGTAAATACCCACTACTGTAGTAACTACTATCTATAATTATATTTTATTATAGTCAATCAAAATAACTCTAATAACAGAATGTAACTAATGTTCTGGTTGTTAATAAAAGAAATTTAAAAAAAAAATGAAAAGAATAAAACATAGTCAGTAAACTATCGATATCTTCCTTAATTAACGAACTTATTGCATCAAATTTTAGCGGAATCTTCTTGATGGTCTTCCTAAATATCACTGACTGATAAATATAATTATTATGTACTTCTAAGGGGGCGTTCATTAATCACGTGATCAATTTTTATGGATTTTTGGACTCCCTCTTTCCCTTGGCGATAAGTCGTGATATTTAGAATTACATCAAACATCACGTGTATTTTTAGTTACGTAAAATTTACTTGACCCTTGTCCCACGTAATTTTTCGTGATTTTTTGTTAAAGCCTCTAGTGATTAATGGATGCCCCCTAAACGTCTTACAAGCATGATTAGCAGATTTTACTACTACGTCAGTGTTTACTTTTTTACTAAATTTCAAAATTTTTTTTCAGAATATTTATTTGTATAAGAAAAGTAGTCTGCCGGTAAAAACTTATTCTTCTTCATATGCTGCTCTAATAATCTTTTTGGAAAATTTGCCCTTAGATTGTTTCAATTGAATTTTTTAGGTTTGCTGACGAAGTCTAAATAAAAAATACCTTTTATTATTCGATAGTAAGCTATTCACCTGTAAGTATGTTATGATGTTATTGTTGTATATAGTAGTTTTTGTTTGCCATCCGTTGAAATATCAAATTGTTGCCATATTTTTCTTTTTTATTTCTGCAAAGGTCAAGGGCATCTTAAGTTCACAAAACATTGATTTGTTTATGGTGACGATAAAACAGTAGTATCAAAATTAGTTTGCCAAATTTCTGCGTTCTGATGATTTTTTATTCAAAGATGAAAAACGCTCAGGTCGTCCAGTTGATGTTGAATAAAAGGAATTGTCTGCTTTGAACTGTTACCACCAACCGAAGAATGATCAATTATGATGTCTATATTGAACAAGTAACAAAATTAAAGAATGCAGTTGAAAAAAGCGGCCTGCATTGTCAAATCGATAAGATGATTCATTCCATTATAAACATGACATATTTCTGGCCACTTTGGCAAAAACTATTGGAGCTTGGTTGGAATGTTTTGCCACATTTACCATCTAGTCTTGACTTTACACCTTTTCATTGCTTTTGTTCCAATACTTACAAAACTCTCTGAATGGTCAACAATTCAATGATTATGTTGGTGTTTTGCTAATAAAAACCAGAATTTTTACGAAAGTGGGGTAATGATGTAGCTTGAAAGACATTGATCAAAATGGACAATATTACAGAATAAAGGTATATTTAAATACCGGAAAAAGTGTCTTGCATTTTATGACAAAATTACTTACTTAGTTGCCAACCTGATACTATAATTTAGGATTAACTAATTCTTACGCAAAAATTTTACTATTGATCTGTTAGTAGCATTATTATCGATAAATAAATATCGCTGAAAGGCTTCACTTAATTTGGAAATTCAACAATGACTTCATAATAAATAATAGCGTTATTAAAAAATGACTGCCATACTGCAAAAATGTCGTATAGAAATGATAGTATATTAACATACCATAATGAAAAAATTGCAAATATTTATAAGCTACATCAGTAAATATTTGTTCAAATTCTCATTATCATATTCAACTATGTAAACAAAACTGATTTCTATTATTAATTCTTTATCTATTATATTGAAAACAAACGTAAACTATACGATATATAATTAACCGTGAACAAATCAAAACAAACATTAATAAGAGAAACTATTAACAGTTATTTGTTTTATAAATATGCTAATGTACTTTTAATTTATTTAAGAAGGAAATCCAAGCCAATTGTTCACACGCAACCTATTTCTCTTCTAGTTCTATTGTGATTTTATCTATGAAAAAATTAATTAGTTCAATATCATCACTAGTCGTATAATATAACGCCTAGAATTAATATAATAATAGAATTATTAATTTCTCAATGGAACCAAAAATATTGAAACGATTTGAAAAATTCTAATACAAAAGATATTAGTTAGTGCTGATTAGTTTATGCTAAAGATCGGCCGGGCCGTTTTTTCGTAATTGTTAAAAGAATGTTTTTGATAAAATTTTTACGTTGATAGAGATTATGGCCACTAAAGTATTTAGTTTAATTTTAATTTGTCATCAATGTTTGGAAAATGTGTTGTGCTTTTTGGACAAACCAGCGCTTGTTTGTGCACAATACAACTGCAAATAAATTTATGTGAAAAAATGCCAATTGGAAATGTTAGTGATTAGTTTTGAGTGAAAAAGTTTATTTTTAAAATAAACTGTTTAGAATTATATCTAAAAGTGCCACTCACACCTGGTTTAATCATAGAGTTATGAGTTCATAAAGAACACCTGTTGTGTATTTCACAGCCGTTGTTATTTAATCGTTTTATTAAAAATAAATAAGATTTTAGCAATGTCATACCAAAAACACAATTTGGAATTTAATCGGAAATAAATATAAAAATTCTAAAAGCTGTGTTGCATTTTTCACTTTGGTAATTATGCAGTTCTGCAGAAAGCAAATGTATATGGGAACGAATTTTGATCAAAGTTTATGTTTAATTTATTATGGGGGTATAGATGTCACAGATAGCCGTGCAGATTTATATTTCTATAAACAATCTCGTCAGTTCTCATGGTCTTAATTACAAGTACATGGTTATATATCTGATTTTTCGTGCGACTATTAGTGATAAAGAAAATATTTGTGTTAATGCAAAATTGCAAAAGCTTTAGGTATAATATAATTTATAAATAGTTCATATGTTAACGTCCAATATAATGTGAATCAATATGTAACTTCGACTTTTTGATCTTATTGATCTACATAAAATTCATGTTTACATGAGTATGCTATTACTATCCTTTATTTTGTACTCTTTATTATTTAAATTTATGTTTATTATTGTTACTAGATGTTAAATTATTTAACAGTTGTAACAAATATTGTAATAAAAAAAAACTGTGTACAGAACAATTTCATAGATCAATAATTGATATTATAATTTGAAGCTTCAATTTACTATAATAGATGGAGTATTAAATAAATTTATTCATAATTTAATGGCACATTTTGAATAATTCCAGTTATTAATAAAAATAAACCAGGCGTAAAGGGATTGAGAGCTTTGGTGAAAATGAGATCATTTTTCTGTTATAGTGGTTGATTTTTATTAATTTTATTCTTTGAAGACCTTGATCCGTAATCGTAACACAATTTCCTCAAGTTTTCAAGAACTAAATTTTTTTTTTTGAACTATGAACTTGAAATTTTCCAAATTGGTCAATTTTGAGAGGTTATTCTTTAAAAAAAAGCACTAAAATGAATTGGCACGTTTCATCAAAAGTTGGCGCATTTATATAGGGTTGTATTATAGTAAAATCCTTGACTGTTAAAAAATAAACAAAAAAATTTCGAGTAAAAAATGAAAATCTAAGAACATTCCGTTACGGCTTAACGTTGAGTTTGAAACCTTATGTGTGTGTATATATATATATATATATATATATATGCAAATGTATATGCATATATATATATATATATATATATTAAATACATAAATGGTGAAAATTTTTTTCAACAATTATTTTTGAAGAAACGGCCCAACCATTCTTCACCAAACCTAATCAACAAGATTATTAACTAATATCTTTCGAACAAATTTTAAATTTTCAAAATTGATTCAGGATTTTCAGTTAGAGCGTTGACGAAAAATTTTGCTTGTTGTAAAGAAACTGCTTGGCTAATCGTCGCTAAATATTGATCTACACGGCTTATTCATTTTAAATGTTTGAATCAGGTTCTTTTGAAAACGTCGGCGAAAAAACGTTGGCTTACATACACACACAAATACTTTCTTCAATTTCAAACTGATTCAGAATGACTTAAAACGTCGAGAAATCAAAAATAATAAAAATGAATTTTCTGCCAGAAACAAACCTTTGCTTCAGGAAGTTAAAATCGTAGTTTAATCTAGAAACGTTTTCTTTAACTTGTCTTGTACTTCGTTTTTTTTTTAAATCATGATTTATTTAAATTACAGCGCAATGTCATGCTTCGAAAATTCCGGAGGGAATGCCTTTAATTCTTCCAAAAGATGCCACACCTTCACCCTTATTGAGAGATCCACCCACACCACCCCTGCTTCTCCCAAGGGATGCGACTACTCCACCACCGCCACCACTGGTCTTTCCAGAAGATGTCAAAAACTACAACATCGTACCAAATAATGCAACGATCTTGGCAACTTTGACGCATAAAGACGATACCAATCAGGTAATAATAAAGAAATATCAAATGATTTAAATTTAATCCTCCATGGGTCTGAGTATGTTTCAGATCACATTCCAAATTTTTTGACGATTTTTTAAATTATGGCTTCTTTTATTAACCAATTTCGATATTTATGACCTTTGCTAGGTTTTTCATCCTGAAATAATATTTTCATACCCAGAAGTGTAAACATTATATTGTTGTGTTAATAAATATACTATTAGGATGAATTATGTGACTTGAAAGTCACATAATTCATCAATACCAAAAAATTTAAAAAGTTTGTTGTTTTTGATTGCCTATCTCTATAGGCAATAAAAAATAATAAAGCCTCTGCTTGTTATTAAGAAATTTTTTGTTTGCCTATTTTTTTGATGTAAAACAAAAATTCGGTCAATAGAGAGTTAACTAACTTATACGTAATCAAATACAATTTTATTGTTATGGATATTCTTATCAATCTACACTTTTAGTAATTGATTAATATCCATTATCTTTCGCATTATTAAAAGCTAAATATAGACAGTATTTAAAATAGACACGGTCATATCAAATCTCGCAAATCTGTTTTACAATTTGATAAAGGTGTGGACGTTGCTCTTTGGACTATTTACAATTTTTAAACTTTTCATATAATCGTGTTTGATTATGAATTAAGAACACAGATGATTATTAATTCCTATCATATGATAGCGGTCATAAATTTCGTGTGACATATTGTTTTATATAATATCTTCAGAATTTAAATCTGTTATCATAATTCTTCAGTTGATAATTCCAGAGAATAAAAACAAATTGGTTTTAACATCATATGTGCATGTGACTAATTGCTTTTATAGTATTTATTGATAAAAATCGGTTTTTGGAAAATTGTCACAGAAAAAATTCAACGTATTTCTTCAGATATTACATTAGGTGAAGAATTACTAAAAATAAATGATGCATTTTCATGTATTATTTTTGTTTTCTGTGTTTATGACTATAATAAAATTCATTTTAATAAATTAGTAACTTCTCTATTAACTTTCCGTAGGGTGATCGCAAAAAAATCGATTTTTTTAAATTAAGACTTTGATGTCTTATTTATAAAATTGATGGGCACAAAAAATGATACAAAAAATACAATAAATTGAATACAAAATGAAACAAAGTTGAAATAAAATAACATAATAACAATAATACAAAAATAATAATATAAATGAACTTTGACGTGATGATGTATGCCTCATAAAAAATCGAAAATGAAAATTTGCATATCTTTATGTTTCAAAGACTTCTGAACATTTTGGCATACCAAAAAAAGAATGCATATATGTGTATGCACTTCTATGTATGTATGTACGGATACAAATTTTCGTTGAACACTTCGAAAGCACAGATCAACAGATTTGAATGATTCAAAAAAAAAACACTCGATTACTATTAATGGGGAGATGTCCTGATTAGTTTTTGGCATAGGCAGGTCCAGTCGTTTCGAAGTTACGGAGGAAAATATGCAAAAAATGGAAATTCTGTTTTTCAGAGAACTGAGCGCCTGATTCAAAAAACATGACTCGTATTGGCGGAATGAAAAAATGATTGAATTTTTGGTAAGGCAGGTACAGCGATTTCGGAGATGCAAAAGAATTAAAAAGAGTGCCTTTTGTCGGTCAAAAATGATTATCAGATATTTGCATGTCACTAATATTCCAAGACATTCACAAAGCCCTTAAAAATGAATTTCATTAACAACTGTACCCTAAATTCGTTTTTTATAAAAATTCTGTATCCAACACTTACAAATTCATGTACATTTGTTGAATTTAGTTACTCTAAACATCTTTTTTATAGACTTCCCTAACGTATTTTTTTAAAATGTTCCCAAAGTGTTCAAAAATTTGTACAATCACTAATATTCTTGGCCTAAATCCGCCGCTGTAATTTATTAAAATGAATATCTCGCACGTTTATGATTAACAAAATAACCTTTGCGTACAAATTTGTAGTGGAAAGAAATCACTTATAATTTAAATAAAATTTGATAACTCTGCTTCTTCTTACCTCAGACTGCATGGATGTCAGCATTTCTTCGCAAAATTGCTCAGAGTCAAGTTTTTCACACACATAAGCACTTTATTTTACGCGAAATTATGAAAAATTGATTTAATTAGCACTTTTGTTTTAAATATTAATTAATTTACGCGAATTTTATTAAATACTACACTCACTTTTATTTTAGAAATTATTTTTATTAAGCTGAAAAAAAATTGTGGATTAGTAAAGGGTACGGTGTGACCGTACCCTTAGAATGCATGCCTAGAAATGAAAATGCACTGACCTTTGTTTAAAATCACCGATTCTTCTGGAACATCCCGATTACCAATTTGTTGTCTGAGGGATAAAGAAAAGAATTAATAATTTTGAAATATTTGATGAAATAGTAATTTGTTCAGAAAATCTATGCATTACCTCGTGATTTCCAGAAGAGAGCTGGTCAGGAACCAGGAACCGGAATCCAGGAACCAGGAACTACGAACAAAACATTATCACTGCACTAAAACACTATAAATGCCTTTATAAAACACTACACAAACACTAAGAAAACGATAAAAAAAGCGCTAAAAAAACGATAAAAAAAAACTCGGAATAAAAAAAAATCGCATAAAAATCGAGAAAACCGATCACTACGCGTCGGCACCAGGCAAATTATTTGACCACAAGCGAATGTTTGTATTTTTAAAAATACTGTTCATCACTAATGGAACTTGGATAGATTTCCATAATCATCATGAAATACATAGAGATTCCTTTTTTTACCATCTCTACTTTTATGGTTAGTCCTTTTTAAATCCTGGTACTTTTTACTAATTAAATTGATTAATTTTAGTCTTGTATCAAAGTCTTCCAACCGACACTTGGAACCTTACCAGGAACAACGTTTTCGAATAATTCTTGTAAAAATCATCTTCTGGGACTAACATCAACCGATTGTAAGAATAGATTAGCAACCATAACTGACTATTTAAAGTCAACCCAGAGATCCTTTTGATCACGAATTTACATCTAAATCCATTTTCTGGTTTGAATGTTCAAACATTTGGTAAAATTAAAATGTCAATCGTTTATTGATAAAGCCTAAGTGGTCAAAACTTATTTGCCAAATTTTGCACAACACTGTCAACACAAAAGAACACTTTTTAGTCCAATACCATAGTCCAATTACATTTATTCAACAATCACCACTTTTTGGTCTTTGTACTTTCTAATGGTTGCTCTGAATTAGATTTCTGCAAAAAATAAAATAATTATTAGTTTTCGTTTTTAAATATTTAAGTTTATCTTCGCGAAAAAACCGGGTTTGCTAATTTCATGTTTTCTCGACGTTTCAAGTCATTCTGAATCGAATGAGACCAAATTTGGATAAAGTTTCTGTGTGTATGTGACCTGACTTTTGATTTTTGCCGATGTTTTCTTAAAAACAGTTGAACCGATTTTAAAAATTTAAAAGTATCTATGTAAATCGATAAGGACTTGTGTTGCTTAATCATGAGAGATGATCAGTTCAACCGTTTTTATATAATTAACAGAAGAGTGCAATTTTTTTTCACGTTCTAGTCAAAAATTCTGAACAGATTTAAAAAACTGAAAGATATCAGTTGACTATTTTGATGAAACTTTGTGTAACGATAGATTTCGTAGTCTGTAATAACATAGCTAAATATTATAGGCCTACTATAAGTAGTTAAATTATAAAAATACGAAGTTTAGAATTCTAATTAGAATCTAAATATCTAATTAGAATCTAATTATACGACTATATGAGCTGATATAACTATGTTTGAAAGACATCAATTGTAAATCGGCTTGTTTATTCAAAAAAAATTGAAATAAACAATTGAACGTTTTACGTAAATAGTTGAATTTCAATTGTTATGGATTAATAAATTAATATGAATATACTAGAAAACCGGGCGAACTCCGTTTCACCACCAGATGGTTTCATTTTATGTAACATTTCGTTTGGTGATTAAAAGATTAAGAAAAAAATTGCTTGCTGTTGAAATTGAATAAAAATTTGCACAATACACGTGATTGATTTGAAGGTTTCCAATTGAAATGTTAGGAAACGAATAGCTTATTTTTTACTTTTTTTGCACAATTTCACAGTGAACACAATGCCGGTTTGTCACATGAAATTAACTGAGCAGAGAACAATGAGTAGCTCTCAAACAAATTAGTAGCAGTCAAACAAAAAATATTAGTTTGTAGTACATGCTAAATATCACAGATGACGCTGTATGTGAAAAAAGAAAAAGTGTTTTCCACTTTTCTGTTGAAATCTTCCTTCAATTTTCTTTGCTATAAACCTCACGGAGTCCGAGACCTTTCCAAAGAATGCAAAATCGTCGAAATCGGTTCGTGCGTTATGAAGTTATATCGTCAGGAAGGAAAACCCGACTTATTTTTATATAATAGATTGATTAATAATACATAATTATGTATAGGTATCGAGAGGTTACCTATAAATAATTATTGTAATCAATAGGAAAATGCTACTTATGTAATTAATAATTTAATTGTGTCACGGTGTTTTTTTTGCACTTGGTAAAAATTACAATGAAGAAGGACACAAAAATTCTACAAATGCTTCAATACATAAACTAATTAATGTTTCTTCAAAACCTTAAACTTCTTTTAGAAAAACCTGCTTTGATATGGATTTTAATGAGCTAAGTAGTAGTCAATAGTAGTGGTCCATCATACTCAGTATTTTCTGTGATAATTGGCTTTCAAACTTGATTTTTACTCTGTGTTCGGACGTATTTTTCTTTTATTATATTGGCCACGAAGGTGACAATCTTCATGGCATTGAGCTTTTACACAGGATGGTTGCTACCGCTGATAGAGGGGGTAGCGGTAGTTTTAATTGGACTAATTACCCACTTCAAAATGTGAAGTCCGCTTAAGAACATGTATAATAAATAATAAATAAATATATCTTCTTTTATTATAGCTTAGTGACA